ACTACAGGTGCGCGCCACCATGCTCAGTTAATTTTTGTATTTTCAGTAGAGACGGGGTTTTGCCATGTTGGCCAGGCTGGTCTCAAACTGACCTTAAGTGACCCACCTGCCTCGGCCTCCCAAAGTGCTGGGATTACAGGTGTGAGCCACCTGAACCAACCCTGCTCAGGGGTGCTGCACCAAGTCATGGCCAGGACTCCACACTTATTAAGTGAAGATCTCTTGCTTTTCCTTCCCCTTCTCTCCTCCTCCCTAGGCCAAAAGGCCTAAGCACTCAAACCATGCAGACAGAAGCAAGGCTGGCTCGGGCTCAGGCAGGTCACAATCTCAGGGCTGCCACAGGGGATAAAAGACTCAAAGCTCCAAAGCGCAGCACGGAGCCTTCTCCGGAAACAGCAGAATAAGTGCCTGTCGGGGATCCCCAAGCAGAGACACTAAGAGAAAGGGAAACGACGCCAGTAAGAAAATACGCGGGGGCTCTCCTTCTCAGTTATGCATAATAAATATACGAGAAATTTCATCTGCAGACGGTCCCACGGAGGGATTCCATGCTGAGAAAGCTACCGTGCTTGGGGCGGGGCGGGGCTTGCTCTGGCAGAAGAAGAGAAAAAAAGGAGGAAAAAACGGTTGGGAAAAGTAAAACTGGTGATAATGATCCCAACAAGTCTACATAAAGTAACTGCACAGAGACGCAGATGCACAGACACACACACCCACACTTCTGCTCCCACAACCACCTGCGAGGCAGGCAAGGCAGGTGAGGAAACCACGCTCGGAGAAGGGACGGGAGTCAGCTAGGAATCAGCTGAGAAGTGGAGACGCTGGGGCTCAGACACCCACGCGGGGAAGCTGCCCAGGGTGACAAGAACCCAGGCCAAGCCCACGCCGCCCCCATAGCTCAGTGGACCCGGACCTCAGGGTACCCCTGTCCTGGGAAAGTTGCTTCCTGACCCTGAGGAAACGCCAGCAGCAAAGACTCCACTTGGTAAACATTTTTTGTGGGGACTGCTCTGTGACTTCCGCCAATTTTTCTCCAGGGTCAGCGGCTTGATTTGGAGGAGCTCTATCGCCCCCTGGTGGAGGTTTAGCCACATGCATCTGCAGGGGCCACAGTCACCATTCAGAAAGCAGCAGCTGTGTGTGGGGCAGAGGCATGAAAAGGGAGGGACAGAGGACATTTTAGAGACCAACTTTTTAGAATATTTGTTTGGCATAATAATCTTCTAGAGGAGCTGGCATCACTCGGGGACCTGGGCAACTAGGGCTCCTGCGCTGGCTTGGCTTTAGCAGGCCCCACTCTGGTCCTCTGCAGGGCAGTAAGTCCAGGGAACTCACCCAAAGCCCAGGGCCGCCCTTCCCCTGTACCTGGAGCTCCAGGCCCTAAACCCGCTCCCACGGCCGCATGGGCCTCTTTCCTGGATCCTGACTCCCAGGGGTGAATGCCACCGTTGGTGTGTGCACTTCCAAACCCAGGGAGTGGCCAAGGGGCAGCTGTCTGTGGGGGTGTGAATCTGCTCACACGTGTGCTGGAGCCCCCTCATGGAGAGAAGACCCTCATTTGTAGTCTAGTCCCAGGAACCTCCTCTCCTCTCCTCTCCTCTCCTCTTTAGAGGAGAGCTGGGCGGTCTTTGAAAAATTTGAATCACACTTATAATAATGTATTTTTAAAAATGTGTTACTTGGGCCAGGTGTGGTGGCTCACGACTGTAACCCCAGCACTTTGGGAGGCTGAGGCGGGTGGATCACCTGAGGTCAGGAGTTTGAGGCCAGCCTGGCCAACATGATGAAACCCCATCTCTACTAAAAACACAAAAATTAGCCAGGCATGGTGGCGGGCGCCTGTAATCCCACCTGCTCGGGAGGTTGAAGCAGGAGAATTGCTTGAACCCAGGAGGCAGAGGTTGCAGTGAGCTGAGATCGCACCACCACATTCCAGCCTGGGTGACAGAGCAAGACTCCAACTCAAAAAATAAAATAAAATAAAATAAAATAAAATAAAATAAAATGTGTTACTTGATCCTATCAAGACTTTCAACCCAATTTCTAGATTATAGGAAATAAAGGGGATAAAGAAACAAACCACAAAGAGGCAATGAGACAAACTGGAAGGGGGAACATTTGCATTCCTGGTTGGGGCCTTCAAGAATCAGTGTTATGAAATGAGGGTCTGTTTAGGGTTACAAGAGATTTATCTCTTGGGGCCAGGAGTTCAAGACCAGTCTGGGCAACATAGTGAGACCGTGTGTCGACAACAAATTAAAAAAAAAAAAAAAAAAGCCGAGTTCAAGACCAGTCTGGGCAACACAGTGAGATCCTCTCAAAAACAAATTAAAAACAAAAAAAAGCCGGGCATGGTGGTATCCACCTGTAGTCACAGCTACTCGGGAGGCTAAAGCAGGAAGACTGCTTGAGCCCAGATGTTTAAATTTATGGTGAGCTATGATCACACCACTGTACTCCAGCCTAAGTGACACAGTGAGACCCTATTTCAAAAAAAAGAAAAAGATTTAAGATAATTTATGTAGTGACTTCCTTCCAATGGGTATAATACATAATACGTAAAGAGGGGAAAGAAAGAGTAATTTTACAGTGGAGAAGCCTGACAAGACTTCAGCCAGGTGATCACGCGCGTGTTGCCCAGGCTGGAGTGCAGTGACTATTTACAGGTGCAATCATGCAATCGTAGCACACTACAGCCTCAAACTCCTGGGCTCAAGCGATCCTCCTGAGTATCTGGGGCTACAGATGAGCACTGTGCATGGCTTGAAAAAGGAATTTTTGTTTGTTCTCAAAATTTTGTCTGCTTCAAACTATTTCCCACGGCCTAGATCTAAGCTCCGGCAAGCTCTGGTGCCGCTTAACTCTCTATCCTCTTTTTGTGCCATTCTCCACTTCACTATAACGATCCTGCCACATTCATCTTCCTTCTGGCTCCTTCCTGTTTTAAGGCCTTTGCCCATGCTGTGTCCCTGCTAAAATGCCTTTCTCATGATGGCCAAAACGGAAGTAACCACCACCTTCTACTGCTGTCTCTCATCACCCCATTTATTTGCTGCTGAGCATCATCTTTTTTGTTTGCTAACCACCTGTCCCCCCTACTAGAATGTAAGCTCCTGAGGGGCAAACACTTTCCCTAACTTGTTCACCATACTCCAGCATTTAGAGCAGTAGTTTACATATACGGTACATGCCCAGTAAATATCTGCCCAGTGAATAAATCAATAGGTCTTAAGATCATAACTACAAAAGAAGCCGTAAGTTACAGACTGCAAGCCATCTCTGCTTCTCCTGATATGAAAACACTAAATATGAGTTACTTTTGTTTCTAAGACAGATTCTCGTTCTGTCACCCAGGCTGGAGTACAGTGGCCCAATCCCAGCTCACTGCAGCCTCGTCCTCCCAGGCTCAAGCAATCCTCCCACCTCAGCCTCCTGAGTAGCTGGGACACCACGCCAGACTAATTTTTTTTTTTTTTTT